GGCTTGAACTACCCATTATTTTTTCTACTTGCAAAATTCAAGATAAAGTCTGTACCCTCTGACAAAATCATCAGGCAGGGTCCTGTAAGAGAGAAAAAAATGAAGATTTGCATGGCTGAAGATAATCAGTTTCACAAAGCAAGATGAGTACTTCGCACTTCGATAGTTATAACAGCTTTACGTAATTCTGAATTCCCAAAACCCATCTCTCATTGTGAGCAAACAATTCAATTCAGAAAATCCCATCTTCTTTGTTTTCCTGTTACTGATCCATATTACAAAGCGTGAAACTGTATGTGTAACCGATAACTGCTATCAGTAGTTTGACCGAGATTTTAACAAACAATTACGTAATGATTTTGTGATTTTGTGATGCGTTATTTATGCTTATATCTATGCAGTATGTGAGTGTGTGTGTGTGCGTGTGTGCGCGGGTGCATCTATGCGGCCTGTCTCTTTCTCTGTTCCATTCCTTAACTCTTAAAAGCCTAAGCCTTTCCATTCTTATCGTAGAACATTAAGCCATATCTCTGTCGCCATGAAACTCCCAGTCTAGTACATGTTCTAGTCATGCTTTATATCTATACCATAAGGAAAGTTAATTGATCGAGATAACATGTATGTGATTTTATGTATCTACATGTTTATATCTATATGATTATTCCTGTTTATATGCATATGTATATGTATGTGAATATATTTATATATATACATTTATACAAACACACACACATATGTTTATATGTATATACTATATATATAATATATATGATATATATATACAAACACACACACATATGTTTATATGTATATGTATATGTATGTGAATATTTTTATATATATACATTTATACAAACACACACACATATGTTTATATGTATATGTATATGTATATGTATATGTATATGTATATGTATATGTATATGTATATGTATGTATATATATGTATATGCATATGTATGTGTATATGTATATGTATGTGAATATTTTTATATATATACATTTATACAAACACACACACATATGTTTATATGTATATGTATATGTATATGTATATGTATATGTATATGTATATGTATATGTATATGTATATGTATGTATATATATGTATATGCATATGTATGTGTATATGTATATGTATGTGAATATTTTTATATATATACATTTATACAAACACACACACATATGTTTATATGTATATGTATGTGCATATATGTATATATATACATATGTGTATATATACACAAATGTATACATATATGTATATATATATATGTATATACATATTTGTGTATATATGAATATATATACATATACATATATATATATGTATATATATATATATATATATATACATATACATATATCTATACTTATGTATACCTAAACATATATACATGTACACTTGATAAGAATATATATCTTTACTCTTTCTGACTTAACAATATGAAACAACGACGAAAATGGTTGAAATAAGTGCTGAGTACCCAAGGGTCCCGTTGTTTAAACTTTTTATTATTTAAACCTATATAGATCTGGTTATGGCTTAAAATGCCCCTAGAAGTCATTTTTCTACATTCTTGTTCACTTCATCCGGCTACATAAAAAAATCGAGGGTTTCAAAATGTACAATGCTCTTAATATTTCGATTTCTAACAGTCTGCATGCTGTTGCAGCAGAGCAAAAAGGGTTCATATCCTAACATTGGCATGATACGAGGAACTTCCCATATCATCTAAGAAACACTATTCGAACACGTTATGAATCTTCATCTGTTCCGTGCTTTGAAAACAAACCCGCCAGAGACACACCCGAGACAGACAGAGGGCTGGCTGGGGTTCGCCGAGGCAACACGCTGTCGCCTTTTGTGTTTTTGTGATTTTTCTGAACTTTTTTTGTAATGGACTCCCTTCGACAGTGGATTACAACAGTGACCTGTGATCTGATATGAAAAGGTAAAGCTAATTATACTGATCGTGTATATGTGCGCTCTCACTCTCCCAGTAAAACAACAGAACTCGCCCTTTTATTTTATTTTTCCGATTTTACCTTATGTTTCTATTTTTATTTAATAAGTAAAAGAACTGTGAAAGAGAGAAACAATATAAAGAATAAGTAATGGCCCAAACATTTGTACATTTATGCAAATGTACAAAGGAATTCATACCCGTACCCACTTGAAAATACGTATGCTTACACGTAACTACGTTCGTGAGCGTTCACGCACACAGGAACAAGCCTTTACGTAGTTACCCTCGTTCACACATACACGTACACTTATACATACACGCACACTTATACGTACACGCACGCACTCTTATACGTACACACGCACATACACATACATGCACGTATACCCGCACACACTCATGCACACACACATGCACACACGCACGCACACACATACACACACACGCACGCCCACACACGCTCGCACGCACGCGTACTCATGCACATACTCACACACATCGGCGTTTGTTTTTCTGTTTATGGTTGCCTCAGTTATTAGGTTCCCTTTTCGGCCAATAGCCTTGAAGTATTCGGACCACAGTGCTACCACAAAACAAGAGAAAATAAGAACTCGAAAGGACATGTGAAACATGGCGGATGAGCCCGTAGAGTGTGTGATTCTCCCAGAGGCTGAGATACAACTGAGCTAACCGCGACAATTTGACCATTTTCCCAGCTTGGAATATCTGCCCTCTGTATGCTTCCACTCTACGCTTATGAATTTGGTCTTGGTGATCTTGAAGTATCTGAGGAGTTTGAACAATGGCATCGACAGAAAGTGCCTCAGTCACTTCTTATCTGCTCCATAAATGTTAAAGTCAGTGGCTAGGGTTTGGGGCAGCAGTTACTACAAAGAAATACGAGCCATAGATTGATCATGTCATATGACATGCTCACAAAACATATCTGTCAGAGAATAACACTAACGTCCGACTTTCTGACATTACGGATAAAAACGCCCTGTTGTCGGATAAAGTTTGTGTTAACCCTTATGTTCCCAGCTTAATTTTACATGCATTTTGATAATACGGCAGCATAATATAAAAGCAAGGATATATCGTTACGTCAGCAGCCGGGACCTGGGGTGACAGAAGCTACAATGCATAAGTGACTTTCTAAGGAGAAATGTGAATTTCCAGGAAGATTTGTAAGACATTACTGCACCAGTCTGGCGCTCTTAGGACATGTAAGGGTAAGGGTTAAAGCCTGTCACATCACACATGTATTACTCGGTTATTTCATTAGTATGCATAAAATAGTCAAACAGTATGTGAGCTAGGTATGACAATGATGACTTTAATCCATACAACGTTGACTTATTTTCGTGAAAAATTGATCAGTATTATTTGCAGTCTCTGTTACCCCATGTTCTGGCTCCTTCAGCAGCCAGACCGTGGAGTAACTGAGACTACAAGAAATAATGGTCATAGTCATCAAACGGAATTTCATAACAAAAGCTACATAGGTGTCACGCGTAGGATTTCTTGCTGACATTACCTCTAGGTTTGGATTTGGTGCTCAGTCAGAGAAACATTCAGAAATTGGATAAACTTGAGACTATCAGACAGACTGTCAGATAGAGAAAGAAAGTTAATGTTATTGCTTGTTATCTGACACTAACCATAAAAGTGACACCAATAATTATCAGTGTATCATAATAAGTAATGAAAACTAATTATATATCAGGGATTAACAACAAATGAACAAAATAACTTATTTAGACAAGATAATAGTCACTTCTACTCTTCATGTGACTATTTGCTGATGAAGATTAAATGCTGTCTATCCTTCTGTAGTACTCAGCCTTTGGGATAGATATTTCTTGCTTTCTTGCTTGAATCTCTCTTCAATACTCTCAGAAGCCACCTTGGACTTTCAACAAGTCACACGAGAATGCTAAAAACTCCAGCTCTGCTCCACGGTGGCTCGCACCCCTTAATCCTTAATCGCTGGTGCAAACAAGAGGTGTGAACAACCCAGTATAGCAATTCACAGGTATGAACTGCTCGCTTCCATTTGCACTCTTAGAACTTATGCACTCATACATCAGTGCGATAATTAAAGGATAGTATTTCAGGGATTTCGTGAATTTTCTGGATATTTCAGGCAAATCATGAAATCCCCGAGTGAAACAGTGATCTCATGAATTTACAAAGCACAGGCACACGTACAAACACATAGAAATGTGTATGTGTGTGTGTGTGAAGGAAAACTATATCGTAACGTTTCGAACAGGCCAACAGAGCCTCATTAGTACATAAATATGTGTATATACATACATGTGTATATGTGTGTATATATGTATAAATATTCAAACACACACATACACATAATCATATACACTTACACTATATACACTATAAATATATAGATATACATGTACATGTATATGTACATGCACACACACACACACACACACATACACACACACACATATAATCCCACACACACACACACACACATACACACACACACACACACACACACACACACGCACACACACACATATGTAATCACACACACACACACACATATATAATCACACACACACACATATATAATCACACACACACACACACACGCACACACACAC